TTAGAACAATTTGAATCGGCAAAGTTTGAGTTATTTTAGATTGTTCTAAATTTTTTAATTCTTATTGTGTAATATAAAACCGCTGACACAAGAATTACTGACTGAAACTTCGAAAAACTTTAATTTTCAAAGAGTAAAGTGCCCTTTAGAGAGTTGTTCTAGTGAAAATAATAGCTGTTCCAGATTGCGTTAGCTATAATAAGTATATATTTGTAATATGGAATTGATAATAGAAAAACTATGGTCACAGCAATCAACCAGACATTTCGGCGGCCAAATCTATTTTTAGTTATAACTTCGTAATGCTGTATTCCATAATTTTGATTTTCTAGAACAATAACTAGAACAACTAGAACAACCCAGAACAATAAAGAGAATTTCATTTTTCCAAAAATGGGGGGCTAGTCAAAAAGCCTGTTTTTTCGGTTTTCTCGTGGAGTTTTTATTTTTTCAATTTGCCGCTTTGGAACAATGGAGAACAACTCTAGAACAATCTAGAACAACAATAAAAAATTTAAAAATAAAAAAATGGGGGGCTAACTTCCCGCACTCCATAAGAAACGGGTTCAGCAGTTCCAAGATTTAGAGCGCATGAAAGCAATTGAAGTAAAACTTTTAGTATGAGGTGAAAGTAGACATATAGGGCTTTCGAGTAAAAATCACCAATCACCAAAATTCTTATTATTATTAACAAAAAAAAATCGCAAAGTTAGCTGTAATTTTTGGCCACTTTGTGTTGTTTGTGTTGTTGTTATAAAAAAACGAAGTAAGGCACAAATCATTCGGGAAATACCTTTACTCGAAGCAGAACAGTCCACAGAAACCGTTTCCGGCCATATCAACACATTTTGTTACGTTAATTAGCAGAAAACTTGGAACTACGAAATTACATGTAAATTATATGGAATAATAAATAAACCACTGACATAGGCAAACACTCTAACATAAAAACAGTTCAGGGCATACTTTCAAAGATGACGCCATATTTATAAATAGTATATTTAATTTATTAAAATAAAATTTTAAGTATATTAAGCCCCATAGTTGCTAACGTTGTAATAATAATTTTTTTATTACAAATAAAAGTAATAAAAGAAATTAGTGGAACGAAAAATATATTATATGACGAAACATTTCCTCGAAATCCATACGCTACGCGGATTGGTGAAGTGGTTTGGCCAATAAACTTCCAAACGTAGCGGGTTCAAGCCGGATGAGAGGGATACTTCTCTTTACTTTTATGGAAATGGTTTACGGAAAAGTGAAAGTACTCCGATGAAACGCCAATAAGGCGGATTTCGGACAATCGAGGCATATTATTTATTTATTAAAATTATACAGGGTGTGTCAAATGTCTGGAATATAGCCAATAACTTCGCCATTTGTAGTTTTAAAGAAAAATGTTTCAAATACAAGTTTCTTTATTAATCATGGCGCATTTTTTGGAGATATTAGCTTGTTTGTATTGTTTCGTTGCTATGGCAACGTATAAGAAAAAAAATCGAGAAAAAATGCGTTTTTTGAAAGTCTTAAATCAGCTGATTACAATCAAAGTAGGCGCCGAAACATCGAGATACATATACTTTACTGGAGTGCGTGCTCACGATATTCGCTTGGTCGAGAAAACGGTCCGGCTCGCCAGCATGTTCCCCCACTCTATAACGGCAAGAAATACAAATAGTACTAACTAATGGATATGATTCTGCATGAATTTATTCAATATTTACTAAATAATTCAAATAATGTTATTCAATAATGATGAAAAATACCAAATAATATATATTTAAGTTATTATAGTTTAGGAAATAAATAAAAAATACTTCAAAGCTTGTTTTT